CTCAGACTGCTTACAGAGTGAAGGAGAAGCCTGAAAAAAATCATTGCTGCAATGATGCACTCACAGTGACTCAACACTCCTGATGCAGATGTAGTGCACTTGAACAAGCACAGCTGACATCTAAACAGGGCAATGAAATACTCACATTTCTTTAACATACAAGGATCCTGTGAGCATCAGAAAGACTGCATCTTTCCAAGATGACTTATTAGAAGTGTTTTGGACAGGGGAACTGGTCTTAAACAATACTTAGTTGAAGGATAGGACACTAAATCCTGAATAAATCAGTTTTTCAGCGAATAGCTTAATCAGGTGTTTGACTTGGTACACCTTAACAAAACCAAAATAGTAAATTGAAAAACAACAACAAGAACAACAAAAAAAAGCAAACAAAATGTACTTCTCACCTCAAATCTTTAAGATATCATTTTTATTATCAAGACCATTAACTTCTTAGTTTTTTTCCTCTGATAACAATGTAACTCATGCTCTAACATTTATGATATGCAATTCAAGTGAAGGCAAAGGCATGAGCAGCAGTTTTGTGTATCGGGTTTGGGTTTTTTAAAACTTGAGGTACCCAGGCAAGCCTAAGAATACGCCAATGTCAGCTTGTTGCCAATCTTACCTATGTATACTATAATAAAAATTAATGTCTTCAGTAAAATTTTATGGCAGAATAGCCAGTACATATGAATTGTCCCAACACAGATACCACCCATTTTGGTACCTGCATAACATTCTGTTGGACTTTCAAAAAATAAAAAAAAATGAAAAAAAAAAAAAAATTATGATACACTCATTTGTGTATTGTAAAAAGCTGTTTCTTTGTTCTTGCAGCTGAATTAACAACCGAAGTTTTTCCTTGCCTTATTTTTTAGAATGAGGACGCAAAGTCGCAAATCCATCTTTCCACCTTTGTTTTTACAAAATACCACTAAAAAATGCTTTACAACAGCCAAACACAATTAAGATACAGCTAAGAGGAAAGTATGTCAAGCTTCATGACATTAAGAAGAGCGAGAGAAACATTAATAGACATCTGAAGTTTTAAAAACTCAAAATACAGGAGGTTGCCTGACTAAACCATTAGCTGATGAGTCTATCATCAGTTCTAACTCCAGTAGTCATGACTTCTCTGTGGCCATCACTGACAGGTTCTAAAAATAGTTGATACATACCATACGGCCTAGCATTTCCTAAACAGACACATAAAAGAGCACCAAGACATAAAGGGCCACCCTTAAATACCGTCATGACATTGCCATGAACATACTAAAATGTTTTTGAAATCATCTCCTTAATTGCCTGTGATTTCTCTCATATGGTTTATTTGACTACCTGACAACTCTTTGCTTCTTGACAGGCTGTAATAACAGGATGTGGTATTAGAATACTCTTAAAACTAAAATGTATCTGAGAAATCTAGAAAATAATCTTATAATTTAGGCATCTATTCAACAGAGTAATAAAATGATAATGTACACTTCATTAACATGTTGTAACAGTAGGTCAAAGAAAAGCAATGTTTTAATTTAAGAGGATGCTTTAAAGAACAAAGAACTGTTGTTGACTCTAAGGGTATCTGATCCTGTCCATACTTACATTCTGAAATGTGCCTTTGAAGACAAAAAATTTGGCAGTCACCTTACACTTGGGGCAAATATTTTAAAAACAAACAAACAAAGCCCCAAACTCACAATCTTTTGGTCTTTTAAAGGTCTCACTTTCCAATCTGTTGAGCGCCCACCATCTGAGAAGCACAGGTTCCCAACCCTTTAAAGTTATCGGCTGAGTAAAGTCCCACTGTCAATATTCAGAAATACTTAGGCACCACCAAAACTAACCCCAAACATTTTCAAGAAAGGGGCTTTTTGTTCTGAAGAAACTTTTGACATTACACTATGGCAGTGCATAGCAAAAAAACAACACCTCTGCGGCATTTACTCTGATCTGCCATGAAAGATACATGGACACAATAAACCCAATCAAATCAGACAGCACCTTGCTCCCTTTCGGGCCTGTGTAGGTCATAACAGAAGGCCAGAAAAATATGCATTTTTATTAATCTTATTCATAAAAAGTCAAAAGATACCATTTTTCTCTTCTGTAGTTCTTCCACTTTGAGTTCAACAAAAATTACATTTGCCCCTCCAAAAAGGCTCTCTTTAGAGAGGGTCAGTAAAATGTGATTGAAAGATTAATTTTAACTATGTTTAACCAAAGCACTAAATTTAACTATCAATGAAAAAATACTCTTGTGTTTGCTCAGTGCCCTTCTCCAAAGATCCTGCGCTACTTTGCCAAGTCGCACAGTAAACCTGCCAAGTATTACCTTATCCATTTCACAGGCTGGGCTGAAGAATTTAAGGTTGCTGCTCATGACTACAGAGCCATACTCCAACCCTCTCTAGGCCCCTCTAGATGCTGTGTAGAACCTCAGTGACTGCCTAAGTTTCAATGTGCAGGTACAGCCCCTCATACCTGAGAGCTAATTTAATAATCTAACATTTTACACCACGTTTCTGCCTTACAAAAAAATCCTGTGATACAGAAATATTCAAACAAAATTTCCAGAGAAACAAAAATGAGTTATTTCTGATATGAAGTGCTGTCATGTCTTGACATCCACAGAAGAAGGAGTTGATCTGGAGGCATTAATGTAAATACCCAGTTGAGATACTTCCCAGAGCATTTCAACAGTAACGCTAGCTTGATGTCCAAATCTTCCAGGATTTACTTAATTGGGTTTTATTTTCTGTGTTTTAAGACTAAGTGTAGCTATCTGGAATAAGATAATCATTCCTAGTCAACTGTATAAACTTGCTGAAATTCTTGCAGTCTCTTTATTCTCAAATCCATATAATCAGTGTACCTGAACAGAGCCTTATAAAGCCCCATGTGTTGGAGTAACACCTGTAATAATTACATAAAGAATATAGAAAGAAGCATATTTCCCATAATTCTGCTAAGGGAATGAAGTTCTTAAATTGATGGTTTTACTTGAAGAAAAATAAAAAAAAAAGCATTAAACCCCACATGAGAATCTCAACATTCTTTGAATCTCTGTCTCTCTGTGAGGAGGTTTACAGTGTTCATATGTTTTATAGGTATTTTGATATTTTAAAAATAGCTTCTAATAACACATCATCTTGGCTAGCCACAAAGCACCTCAAAAGAGCTGAATTTCCTATGAGAAAAAGGAAAAACAATCTTTCTTATATAGTTACCTTCGATTTAGTTAAAGGGACAAAACCATTATCTGTGTTACTGATATTTTCTCAATACAAGTTATCACAGCTTTGGGGTTCCACTGACAGTCAGAACCAGCACACAAAACTGAGTTTGAACTAAGCATGTGCCTTTATGGATCTCAACTATACAAGGTAGTGCTTTGGGACTGCTTTCACACACTCAATTATGTGGTTTTATTAAAAGATACTTTTAGGATGTTTATTATAAAGTAAATATTACCAAATTACCTAGGGAAGGAATATTCATTCATTCCTACCAATAAAATTGGGGTATTCCATCCTGAACAGTATCACTTACCTTGTTCATTTATAAAGTACAAAACACTACAGAATCCAGAGCTGAATCTACATCTATATAATTAGTTCTTCCAAGATTCACTGTGTTTATAATGAAAAAAATACATGATAGCATATACAGGTTATAGAAAGCAGTTTCCAATTTCACCCAAATGTGTAACATCACTTAACGCCCTTCCTTTTTCCTTATCACGCTAAAATTGTCAACTTCCTTTAAAATATTTTCATACCAGTCTGAAGGAATGTCACCTCTAAATATCTTCAGCAGCACTGACCACAAGACTAGGTCACCAGTGCACTACACATGAATAGGTACTCCATTACTAAAACAGTATGAAATTTTTTCATTATTGCAGAAGTCAAGTTTTTTAGGATCTTATTTCTGTGGGATGGAATAAAGATGATAAATATGCCTTAAATGGAAAAATGGAGAAAAAGGAAGAAGTATTATAATTTTCTACCTCTTACTGACAGAGCGAGCTATAAAGGCTGTGGTACATTTCAGCTGAAATAAGCTTACAAAGACCTCGGGAGTCCTTTTGCTTTTTCTTGTTCAGAGATTCAGAATACTACTACATAGCAATGAATAACATTGTAGCAGTGCTACATAGCAGTGCTGAAAACAGGAAGATCTTGGCAGATATGGTGGAGTTAGCCTGAAATATGGAAATACAATTGACTTTTTTTCTTTTCACTAAAGAACTGACCACAGATTAAGAAATAGAATATCTGTTTGAAGAACAGAAAAAACATAAAGACAAGTGTCCAGTTCATATAAAAGCATACTTTTGGTTCAGGTTATTCTCCAAGGAAAGCTATATATATGACAACCTACTACCATGCTTATATTATTGTAAACTTAGTTACCAAACATGCTTTTCACCTGCAGCAGTACTGGCCCACTGTAAGTGAGAGAACAAAGTCCATGTCCCAGTTCTGGCCTTTTTCCCTTTGGCTGCTGGGGCAGTGAGTGACGGAGGTAATAGTAACATGCTCAGCACCTGGAGGGAAAAAGTGCCGCATGTCCCACACCAATAATTATGAATCCTTAAATCTACTGGAGTCATTACAGAAGGCATGGCACTTTAATCCCTCATTTAAATAAGCACAGCCATTATGTAGATGTTTGGTTACTTTGCTCAGTTTCCACATCTAAAGAAAAAAGAAATCTTGCAATTCATTTTGAAATGCAAATCATCATTGCCTTCTCTCTTCTTGGTCTGCTGCAGCTTGGCAATTCTTAACACAGCTAACAGAGCATTGCCTATACTACAACACAGGTAGCATTGCAAGTACACGCTTATCATCACCTGACCCCTTCACAGCAGAAATTAAGAACATGGCATTCAAAACCACTTTCAAGCGAGAGAGAAGAATATGCTACCCTATCAACACATTACGGGGCAAAGACACAGCCATACATACAGGACAGCAATATTTTTTCCTTACTCGGTTTTACTTGCTCTTCTATTCCAGCATCTTCAGAATCAGACAGCTCTTTAATGAAGTTGGAAGGAAACATTCCAGTCTTTCCATTGAGTATACCTTCCCACCATCCCTCTTCCACCTGCACCAAAACAAAACCAAGAAAACAAGGAGGTTAATATAACAACCACTTTACAGAATTAAATTGTGTATATGATTTTCAGTAACAATGACAGTAACAATTTTGAGTAGTTTGTATTTATTTCGGGTATAAGGAGCACATGACGTAGGCTCCAAGCCAGAAAATACTTCTTTCTTTTTTTTTTTTTTTTTTTTAATGTAAAATCAAGAAAGATGCATGCACCCATCTGTAAATGTCAGCAGTGCCGACAGGAGTAAGAAGCATGGATGAGCATTAGATAAAAGGATTAAAAAAAACCAAACCACAAACTAGAGAGCACACAGTGTCTCTACATTGAATTTTTTATGGATATCAGTTCAATCACTAAATTTGCTGTGCACACTGTACTCTTACTCATCTTCTTGATGCATGTGATTTGCAGATAAGAGTTTAAATTCATTAAGCAATCAATGGCCAAAGAGAGATGCCTGCAAATGGCTATTCAGAAAATCTAAACTAGGTATCTTAGTATATATCATGTGAATATTCTTGGCTTCCCCATCAAAATCAGAAATTCTCTATTTTGAAAATTAAGAATGTTGCTATATCATTACTGTGTTAATGTAAGTAATCTATGGAGAACAAAGAACAATGCAAATGCATATTTGACTATAGCTTTACAAAATGCTACTGAAATACACAACAATGACATGGTCAGGAGGAGGAGAGACACTTCCTAGGCCAATCCCAAGAGAAAATACCACTTAAAATTTACAAATTTCACCCTGTATAATCCATTCAGGGTTGAATGGCGGTGTCAGGCAGTGAAACGACAGCCCTCAGAAACCAGATGCCTTTAGGTTATAAAGGGACAGGAAGAAATTACTTATATGCATCAGCCAAACACACCCTTGACATATAAATAATTTTCATCTGTCAGTCACTGTCAATTCACCAAAAAAAAAAATGACGGGGAAGGACAGTTTCAGTCTGTGACACATCAATCACTCTCCAATAATGTTTGACCCTCCTCTTTTTGCCCCACAAAAAAAGATGAAAATAGAATTTTGACTTTACAAATTGAGGGTATTCACATCTACTGCCAAAAAAAACAACCCCACACCTTAGATGATATTACAGAAAAAAAAATTCCAACTTGCTTTGTATCACTTATCTGTGAACATCTCAACTCCTTAGAAAACAGATTTCTTAATACAACCAAGTATTTCCTTAAACTACAGAGGAATGGCTGGGATTTGGTTTTTTTTTTCCAACTTAGCTACATGTACTATTTCACTACGAAGAGAACTGTTGTTACTTCAGGAGTGTTTCTTGTGCTTTTTCTCCATCTTCAACCATTTTACCACATTTCTTGTCTTCCTGGTTTGATTCTGCTTTTTTTGGTTTGAAAGCAATCCAGACCAGCACAGCTACACAGCTACATCCATTTAATCTCAGTACCTGCCCATAACAAAATTACCCCCTTCTTTCTCCCTGCCAAATGCATCAGCAATATTAGTGAGCTCAGAAGCAACTCTGGGAAGAACAGCTATTTTCTTCTTTCTACTTCAGAGCACAGAATACATATAAATCACTCACTTCAGTAGACTGCAGGTTTTCCACATTAATATCAAAGTCCCTAAAAGGCAATATTTGCTTTTCTTCTCTCCAGACAAATTAAAAAACATTTGGAAAACTGAAACTGCATGACACACAACACTTAGTAGACTCTACAAATTATATCTCTAAATACCTATATATGATATGTTGTTATATAGAAAATACACAAATAACCAAGACTCTCCAAGCTATATTTCCATTTTTCTAATGCAGTATACCCAGATGGCTCTATTGATTTGAACTAAATATTAAACCATAACTGCATTAGCTGATTGACCAGAAGATTAATCACAGGGGAATTACACAGATCTCAAGATCCCTGTTTTTTGCAAGATGTTGAGATTACTTGACAGAAAGAAGGTGAACAATATAATCAGTTCCATCTTTCTCTCTAGTAATTTTCCTCTGCTTACTTCTTCCAGGGTAACACTTCACAGTTTTCTTACAACATTAGCATTCTTTGTGTAGCATGTTTATGTATGGGTCTTTACGTATGTGTATAGAAGTCCACATAGACAAAGGTAAATCTAAATTGGATGTGAATATACTTACAGCATTCATTAGCTTACTATAAGTTTTCCAGCTGATACAAGAATGAAATCTCTGAAAACACAATGTCACATTCAGTAATTTTACAAATTTAGAAAAACCTAAAGGAAAACACAGCTTTTTTTCCACAAGAAAATGTGGAATTGTGTTAGCAGGACATTAGAGGTTGAAGTCAAACTGGGCCTCCCACAGATCTATTAGGAAATTTTCATCAAAAGCATCAAAACTTTAAGTATTTTTAAACACTATAGCTACATGCTACATACCTTTAAGCCTCAAAACACCAGCTAGAGATTAATCCATACACTAAAGAAGACATTAAAATACCCTTGGGGTTTAGTTATCCCAAAATGTGGCAATCCATTACCATATGGTTTGAAATGTTGCAATAATTCCCAGCAAATAAAACCTCACAAAGGAAAACCCATTGTTCATGGGGGCAATCCATCTGGAGGTACAAGCACTCAATAAAATTTGTTACTATACTATTATAACAAAGTGCTTTCAGGATTTATACATCAAGGTCCTGATTCATGCCCAGAATTTATAGGCCAGACCAAACAATCTAAAAGGAGAATTTCATTCAGTAGTCCATGTCCCTATCCCAGAAAAGAAGTTCTACTATTCATAGTACCCTACATATATAAATTGTTAAGTTAAGCCTGAAAACAAAGATACCGTTTTTAAATTAGAAAAAAAATGGCTCCAATCTGGAAGAGGTTGCCCAGAGAGGGGGTAGATGCCCCACCCCTCAACATATTCAAGGTCAGGTTGTAAGGGGCTCTGAGCAACCTGGTCTGGTTGAAGAAGTCCCTGCAAACTATTCTGTAATTCTGCCAAATGTAAGTGGCCACAGCTAGAGGCATTTTCAAGACATGTTTTCAGTGTGTTACCTGTTCACTGCCTTTCAGAGAGACATGGCACACTCTCATTTTGCCAGGCCTCTAGGCTGCCAATACTACTGTCACACCACATTTGAAGAGCAACAACACAGAGGAAAGTGACTGAAGATAATTCATTGCTCCATTTAATGTATTTAGGGAGGTGACAACTCATGCACCCAACTGCAACTCAGTCAGTGCCATGCACGGGGCAGGGACAGATGCAATAAGACAGCTATATGTGGTCTAATGCCTGGATTTGATTGAACAAGATACAGATGACAGTATCACCAGAAAATGGTGCATCTTCTCCAAAGAAATGCAACCCATTAAGAAGCCTTGCCTTTGGATTTACAGAGAAATTTTATCTATACAATAACTACGCAACATTCAAGTATTCTGCCAATATCACTGGGCTTTGGGTTTTTTTACATTTTCAATGAAGAAAAAATACTTGTATTTTGGTTTTAATTGAATTAACCAATAGAGCTTTTTATGCAAATGAGGGGTTAGAAACTATAAACCAAATGCAGATTAAAATAACACAAAATGTATTCATATAATTTATTAGGGAGTATTTAATGAAATTGGTAGATCCCTGCACACAATGACAACCCAGACTAGAAAGACACTAAGAGGTTGTAATAGTAAATTTTACTTACAAATAATGATATAAGTAAGAAATGATAATTAAGTGCTCAAAACAGATACAGTGGAAGTGGACACGCAGGACAATAACAAAGGGAATTATATGTGTGAAACATTCAGACACATAAAGAAGTTCTCAAGGGGGTACAGAGATGCTATGACATTCAGCTGCTTAGAAATCAACAAAAATCTACTGAATTCAGCCTATTTCCATGTTTAAAGAACAACTAAAAATTAAAAAAAAAAAGAAAGAAACAAGAAAAAGGAAAATAATATGACAGTAGTTCAAGCATTCAGGAAAACATTATAGTTCTACTTTAGACCAGGAATGCAGTTTTATTCTGTAACTGTAAAGGAACCAAAGAAAACATAATCACGTTAGTAGGCCACTAGGTATACAAGATTAAGATCTTCTAAAAGTGAGGAAATGTTACTTTTTATGTTATTTAGGTTTTCTCTTCATGGCCAGTAAATACAATTTGCAACATCCCCCTTTAAATAAAGAAATGTCAGAGAGAGCATCAGACTGACCTGGAGTGCAACAAATGTTGTTGCTATAAGCCTAGAAACCCCTTCCCTTGAGGGAACTGGATGGCCATCCCTGTACCTTCAGGATGGGATACCCAAAAAGAGCAGAAAGTGCTGACGTCAGCTACCAGCAGTTGCTTGCCAGAATATTTAGGTCTGCCACAGCTTCTTGCTTACACCTTGCTATATAATTAATAGGCCAAAGTTGTTATATGATCCATTCTATAAATATACAAGCAGTTTGTCTGCAGGAAGTTCGATGGTGCTACTAGGCTGAGAAAGTTGGGGCTGTTCAGCCTGGAGAAGAGAAGGCTGCGTGGAGACCTCATAGAAGCCTTCCAGTATCTGAAGGTGGCCTACAAGGATGCTGGGGAGGGACTTTTCACTAGGGACTGTAGTGATATACAAGGGGTAATGGGTTCAAACGTAAACGGGGGAAGTTTAAATTGGATCTAAGGAAGAAGTTCTTTACTGTAAGGGTGGTGAGGCACTGGAATGGGTTGCCCAACAAGTTGTGAATGCTCCACCCCTGGTGGTGTTCAAGACCAGGTTGGACAGAACCTTGGATGGCATGGTTTAGTGGGAGGTGTCCCTGCCCATGGCAGGGGGTTTGGAACTAGATGATCTTAAGGTCCTTTCCAACCCTAACTATTCTATGATTCTATGATAAAATATCTGCAGCTATTTGGAATCACTGGCACTAACTTAAACTGGCCTTTAGTTTCCAATAAACTCCTGTATCTGCCTATTTCACAAGATTTTCTACAACCTGTAGCTTTGCCTATTAGGCTGGTA